TAAGAAATAGATTTTTTTGAAAGCTTTTTATATACCTTTACCGTTGGGGCTAATAATTATAGAAGACAGTGCATATATTTAGAAAAAAGGGCTACACCTCACACTATCAAAGAAAAACAAGTCAAGCATGCTACTTGATTATGAAAACAGTTTTTGTTCTGCATAGTTTAACATTAAAAGCAGCACTTGAATCTGTCCTAAAGAGAAATACTGCCAGTCATATCTCTAGGTTGTAATTTGCTTGTCGCAGGACTTTCATACACATAAAATACGTTATTACTTTTTTGATTATGATGTTGTTCAATCAAATTTTTCTGAGTTTCAGCTGTCATGCACAGCTATTTTAGATAGCTGTGTAAAATGCTTCCATCTCTGATCTCCCTTTTTGTCTTATGCTGAGAGAAAGGGTGTGTGATCTTGCTTTGATCTGAGAATGCACTCAGGGTCATAAGCGACATCTGAGGTTAGCCATGGTTGGCTCAGGGTGGGAATGAAAGAAGGGTTGAAATGTCATCTTTGGCCTCTTCATCCTTTAATTAAACTTGGAGAACGAGGAGATAAAATTAACAAATTGGGTAATGAATCGAGCAAAACAGGTGGTAGGTGGTTGAAGAAAATGAACCAATCAGTCTTTCCTGTGTGGATTTATTCAGCTTCTAATTAGACACTGCCTCGGTTAATTATGATTGGGCTCTTTTGGAGGGGGTAGGGGTAAGCTTTACACTGAAAGAATTTGTCACTCTAAATGACAAACAAATACCTACTGTATCTCTCTCAGTTAAGCTGTCTAGCTATTATCAATAAACTTAATGTGTTCTAAAATTACTAGATACTATCTCTTAACTACTTCTTTATTCAAGAAAAACATTTTATAAAAACAATATATATACTGTATATATATATATATATATATATATATATATCTTTATATATATATATATATATATATATATCCTATTTGGAAAACTTCTGTTTTTTCTGTTTTTTTTTTCAGCTATATATGGTAATGATATTGTCATGATGGGTTAAAGAGGCAAGCCCAAGATGCAGAACACACACGGACGAGGCAGGGAAAAAGTTCAAATGTTTATTAAATGAATGAACACACAAGGTCAATGCACTGGGACTGGAAACAGTTGGTTAGCAGAGTTCATGGGAAGCTAAGTGTCTAGCTTCAGGCTTAGCATGGCAGACCTTGATCTGAGCTTCCAGCTCACTGCAGAGAACAACAGGGAATATCCAGATAGGATTCTTCAGGCTGAGCTTCCAGCTCTTTGCAGAGAACAACAGGGAATATCCACATAGGATTCTTCAGGGTGATTCCACATAGGAACCTTCAGGTTGGCTCACCAGGGCAGATTAGCAGGTTAAGCTCTCCTAGAGCTTCAGGCTTGAGACTGGTTTCCTGTGATGCAGCTCTCCCTGAGCTTCAGACCAGAGACAGGGTTTCCAGTGAGGCAGCTCTTCCTGAGCTTCACAAGGAGACAGGAGGTTTAAGCTCATCCAGAGCTTCACGAGGAGACAGGAGGTTAAGCTCATCCAGAGCTTCACGAGGAGACAGGAGGTTAAGCTCATCCAGAGCTTCACGAAGAGACAGGATTCCTGTGAGGCACAGACAAAGGAGAGATTAGAATCTAATCTCACACTAGAGACAACCAAGATTCAATCTGTAACAGAGGCTTAGGAAGCTAACCAACTAAGATCAACACTGCGGTGTGGAAGCAAGGCCTGGCAGGAGCTTATAAAGGGGAGGTCTCCTGATGAGGGGATTAACAACAGGTGTGCAGGAAGACTACAGCCCTAGGAGACCCACGGCGCACTCTGCTGGAGACAGAGGGTAATCTCCAGATCCCAGCAGTAACTCCAGTCCTAATGGAAAGAAACAAAGAACAAAAGACGATCCTCGGTGCCCTCTGGTGGGCAAGCCTGAGGATCCTAACAGATATGGTATTTAGAATTTTGAATACATTTTTTGGACCTTACTGTAGTATAGGGTTGGGAGTTGATAAGACTTTCAGGATTTCCATTTCCTTATTGATTCTGTGAAATTATTCGATTCCTTATCGATTCTCATTGATTCTGCGTAACAATGAACTTGGTAAGTGCACGGTAATATTCGTCTACCTTCACCTGGGACATTCTATTTCTGCCTGTCTCGGCGAAAAGAGAAGGCAGTGAATGGGAGCTGCCAGCCTCTGAGCCACCCAGACTACCTGTCTCTTCACAGTCATGGAGAAGACATCTTTTTAGTGAAAAAGCATTACTGTATAATTTCGGGAAATAAACTCATCTCCCCCCGATTTAAATGCATGAGGGTCACCTTTCTCTCACTTCCTGAACTGAGGAGCAACTTCATAGCATGTTTAATAACCCCAAAGAGAAGTAGGAAATTGGTTTATTTCCAGAAATGGCATATGATTTACTAGGAACCACATTAAGCACAACCAGTGATATAAAACTAGCTACTTACCACCAGAGTTGCCTTCCATGCTGGTCGTAACTTTAGTTTCTGTGCGGAAGCATCAAAAACAGGCATTCTTTAAAATGTATGCCATGTTGTGTGCGCAGGCGTTTCTGCATGTTGGATGTACTCCTCCCCTGAATGTTATTGCCACTTTATATTCAAACTTTTGATTGGTTTACCCGATGGGACGCCATTTTTTTGTGTTACTTTTCTAGACTTAAAGCTACAGTGTGTAATAATTACAGGGATATACAGTCAGAAATGTAATATATTATACATAACTATGTTATTTATCATCATCTACGAGCTCAGCCTCTTAACCTTAATATTTGCGTTGCCTTAGAATTCGTTATTTATAATTACATAGGAGTGGGTCTCACAGCCATGGAGGCAGACATCTGTGCGCTACGGCAGCGCAGAGGCAACAAACTAGCGATTGCGAGATCGCCCATTACGCTCGAAAGTAACTACGGCAAGTTGAGAGAGATGAACTGAGATGGTACTGAACACAGACTAATGAAATACTATCTGTAAAATTATCTATGTAAACAAACCTCATCACTTGAGAAGGTAGGTGATGCGGACGTCGTAGAAGACATTTTGTCCCGTAACGCTCGCCGTACTGTTGGAGGGGAGAAGCGGTGGGGGGGAGATGTTCATGTTGCTGCAGTCTGCAGTCTGGACGTTAGATGTCGCTGAAAATTACACACTGTAGCTTTAAGCCTGGTCACGTCGTACTTGGTTACTGAATGCTGTGTGTAACTTGTGTAAAAAACGTGACGTAACTTATGTAGAAAACGTGACATAAGTCGTGCTGCCCAGCACTAGTCTCTGGTGCTTCCTGGAACCGTTAAGAGAACCGTTAGGCGAGCTGCCAAACGGTGCCATGGAATTGAAACGCACGGAACCGTTTTGAACAAGAACCGGTTTTTCAATTAATCTTCAATTCAACTTATTTAGATGATCCACCCGGAAATAAAAGATCGTCTTCTATACCTTTAATGGCAATATAGTGAAGCACATCATAATGCATTTAGCCTCAACACAGTTTATTACCTTATGCATCATAATTAATTATCTCCTGTTGGTTACTGTTGTGTTAAGCTTCTCATGAGTTTTAAGCTTTGTCCATCTTTTAATTTTTCCAAAACTCCTTTTTGGTTCTGAAAATTAGATTGTGTTGAATCCTCTAGATATTTCAAGAAATGTTTATTTAGTAATTTACAAGATGTCTTTTGAATAGAATTCCCATTCCTACTATGTCTACCAAATGCAAAATCCTGGCAATGCTGTCAGAGAAACCTCTAAGATGAAAGAGCTGTTTCAGAATAAAGAAATTGTAATCACAAATTACAATGAGTGGTCAATTGCTGACAAGCCTCCAGGACTGATTGAATCAGTGTCCCATCAATTGATGAATTCAAGAAGGTAATATAATGATATATACTATCTGATGATACCAGTATAAGTTAGATTATTGATAATGTTGTAGTTAACATTGTATGATTTCATGATAATTTATCATCACTTACAAACATGTGTCATTTGAAGTATCTTTAAAAATTAAAGATTTGTGTTGCCAAAATTGTATTTATTTATATTTTTTCTGATAAAACTCAGATTTTAATTCCAATTGTTTAACTGCCTCAGGTTGTTGTCTTTCACAGTATTATCACTTTCTTGTTTTTGTTACAGAGAGGCTTCTCCTCAAAAATCCCCTGGCACATTCTGACAACAGTTTGTAATTACATTTTAATAGTCAATTAAAGCCAGCCCATCAATCAGGGACTGTTGTGGACAAGGGGTATTAATTTATTTTCTTTAGAAAAAAACAAACATTTAGTCAGTCATGTCAAAACCAATTAACCTATGCTGCTTTATCAAAATAAAAATTTTAGGGATTCATCGAAATATCACACTTTCATATTTAAAATAAGGAATAAACGTTTGAAAGAAATCAAAACATAAAATAGTTATTTATTCAACATTTATCATGTGTGACACATTGTGTAACATTAACAACCTTTATCTTTTATATGGTGGCTTTCTCTTATATTGGGTGACTCAAACATGCAATGTATGAGTTCTGAAAACGATTTTGATGCTGTGTAGTGGGAAAGGACAGAATCTGCATTTAAATATGTTAGAAACTAAACAGGGATTAAGTGGGGATAGTTGCTGGTCATTGTTGGGGTTAATTCATCTGACACTGCATGATTCTGTGATAGTCATCATAGTTACTAATGACTCCCTCTGTTCGGTAACTGCTTTAATACCTGCTGTTTTTTTGATTAGAGGCAGAGAACAGAACCCCTAAATCTGAGGCCAGACAGCAGGCGGAATAATTGCTGTTTTCATGCTTAACATTTTTTTTTAATTCTGCAAGTCAGGAAGAAGGAGGATATACTTAGGCAAAAAAAGGTCTTCCATAATCACATTATAGGAGGAAAAAACTAATGTGAGTGTGTAACCCTGGTTGTTTTTTCTTTTATAAATCCAACCCTAATTTATATGCTCACTGGTGTATGTGTTTCAGCAGACAGAGGATGGAGAGGAGGAAACTCCACTGGAAAGCTCATCCTCCTTGGAGCTGGAGTTTGTCGACGATCCCAATTTTAAAAACAAGGTCAACTACTCCTCCAGTGCCGTCCAGATTCCCACAGACATATACAAAGGCTGTAAGTTGTTCCAGATTTTATCATACCGGTATTGTAATTGAAATGCTGTTTGCGCCTTAATTGCATAAGATGTGCATTCCAAGGTACCCTTTAAAATGAATAGAGGATGCACTGGGTTCTGATAAGGATACATACCATTTAGCAATTGTCCGACTGCAATCTTATTGTTAAATTTTGCACTGATATCAGTGGCAGTAAAGCTACATTTTTAGTCTCTTGACAAATGCTGTGACAGGTGTGAGCATCTACTAGAATGAGACTAGAAAATTCTATACCATAAGTAAGTGAACAAATAGATTTGCTCACTTAGGCCAACACAGAGACAAACAACCATTCACACACACTCACATCTAAGGAGAATTTAGAGAAGCCAAGTAACCTTACAGTCATGTTTTTGGACTGTGGGAGGAAGCCGGATTACCCGATGAGAACCCATGCATGCACAGGGAGAACATGCAAACTCCATGCAGAAAGACCCTGGGCCAGGAATCCAGCCTGAAACCTTCTTGCTGCAAGCAGCTGTGCTAACCAGTGTTCCACTTGCAGCCAACTTTTTCTACATAACAGAAAAAAAATATTATTCACTAGGTCCAACACATTTGTTGTTAAAAACAAACACGGCATGTCCGATTGATGAGGATCTTATTAAAGTATGATCGGCAATATTTCACAGAGCATTAAATATTTATAGGGAGATGATTCTACAACTCAGTTGACACGATATATGACATATATTTGTTTTTGGTATGTTTAAATGAGCGAGATGCAGATCATTTTATTTTTATTTATTTATTTTACAGTACACATAGAACTGCTGAAACTATTTTGATATTATACATAAATAGATTAATTAATTCCATGGGAGGGGAGAAAATTTACTTTGGCAAGCCAGCCAGTTTGATATGTATTTGTTTGACTGAAAACATTTTCCTGAAGAAAAAAAAAAAAAAATCCTTGTCAAAATGACCATTTTATTACCATTTACATCTACAATAAACATTCGGTGTATCTAAAAATTTATTTCAAATCTCCATTTTCCTATTGTTACTGGTCATCATTTGTATTATCTTGACTATGAAGAGATGCATTTCAGATATAAATACATATTCATTCAAGGTGATAAATTTTAAAACAGTCACTTAAAATGTGTAAACTTTTCTAGGTATATAAGACTTAATTCTTACTAGAACCTCTTTTATTGCATTTCAGACTAGGAATGAGATTTTGATCGGATAGTGATCTAAAAATAGAACAACACAGAGGAGAGTGCGTTTAAACAGCCTACCATAAACCACACCAAATAAACGTATGCATTAACTCGTGCAACAATCTTCTCCTTCGCCATCTTCATCTCTTTTGTAGCTGTAGCGCTGTTTCTCTGTCTTTTAAACACATTGTCCTTTTTTTTCATTTCTGGATTGAAATCTCTAGTTCCAGGGTGGTGAAATAGGCACTTCCTGGTGTGTGTGGTAATGGTAACTCATCAATGGGGGTTCCACTGATAAGGTCTTTTCATACTTGTTACGCACGTGTTCAACTCTGAGTGGACTAATTCACAGCAGCCATTGTGAAACCAAAAACTCAGTTTCTGACCTTAGGCTAGAACAATTTAGAGTTGGGGATTTGAATCTGAGTTTGTTAAACATGCTTCTTGAAATGGACTCATTATCCCTGGTAAATATTGAAAGTAGATTAAATACAAAATGATTGATCTGAGAGGAGTTTTAAGGTCTGCTGTATAAAATGTCATGGTGTAGAAACAGGTAGATAGCCATATTACAGTTAACAAGCTGCAACGTGAGCAGCATGACAGTGCTAAACTGCAGGCTCTTAGACATTTAGACCAGATAACTGTCTGGGTGCTTAAAATCTAGTACTAAATTTAGCATGAATAACACTATATTTTTGCTCTTTATATTAAATGAGGTTAGCAATACATTTTTTTTTTGGCCTAACTATAATTAATAATCAAAAAACATTGTTGTGACTAATTGTTGATTTTCTGTCTTTATGTAAAACAATTGGATCAAAGTTTTACTTTAAATCATTGTTGATATATTTCGGAAATGTATTGTGTTTCATGAAATATAATAATAATTTATCCCAATTGTAAAGCAGCAGTAAGGGAAAATATTTCAACAGAATGAAAAAAAGCCTATTTTTTTCTTTAAGCTACAAAGGCCAGAGAACTTAGTCATAAAACTATACATGTCAGCCTGTTTTTTTTAGTCTCCATAGTTATCCTTTAAAAGGATTGGATGTGTATAGAATGCAGGTTGTAGAGTTTATGTGGTCTTTTGTTTATTTGAATTTTCATAAAGATTTTTCTTATACTGTGAGTTTTGTTTGTGATTTGTTTTTTAAATGTGCTTTATAGATAGAGTTCATATTTTAAAGAGAGTGCAGTGTCATAGCGATATGTTTTGTCCTCTTCACTCTCTCTCAGTAACTCAATCTTCTTTGACATCATTTTCCACTTTAGCACAGTAACTTGATTTCAGATGATAGGTACTCGCTCCTAAAACGATTCCTACTGTATTTTTTCCTTTATTCCTTTAACTGCTCATCCCTCTTTCTCATTAAAATCCTCACCATTACTGCACAGCATTCCTCAGCCCTGCAAAAATAACACCACCCTTGACAAACAGCTACTAAATGAGCAGAATGTACCTTCTTGGATTTTTGTTAGTATGTTTCTTCTATCTACCGATCGAACACTTTGAACAATTTCATAGAGTTCCTTAAAAATAAAAAAAAGAAACGGGGCAGGTGCAGACAGAAACAGACATTTTTACCGAAGCAGTTTCTTCCTCTCTGTTATTGTCTTACTCTTGACTTTCTTTTTCAAGCTGACAGTGTATGGCACCTGTCTGTTACAATGCCCTCCAGCTGCCTCTCTCCAGACAAATCTTGTCAGAATTAGACACTCGTGGTTCAGGAGAAGATGTCAAAGGCCAAAGCTAAATCACAATAGAGCAATCAAGGCTGCTCATTGTTCCCGGAGCTATTTTATGGCGGCTCTGGTTCCCCTGTCTGAGGATGTGAGCCAGAGGATAAAGGGGTCTTGATTGAGTCCAGTGAAATCTAAAGGAGTAGAGTGGTGCAGTGCATGGAATTACTTATTTTTCTTCTGCTCTGTGGAAAATGTTTACTATTGATGTTGCTTAGTTAGCTCCCAATGCACAGTCTGCACTGCTTAGATTGCCAACTGCAGATTTTTTGCCAATCCAATTATAAGCATGTGTGTTTTGTTAAAGTTGTTGATAAAAATAAAAAAGAATTTTATTGCCGTGCATGTGCAGAATAGTTCTTAAAGCTCCTTTGAGAGCAAACAGCATGTCCCTGACAGAGTCCTGATCAAGCACTTAAATGTTTTCAGAGACATGGATTAAAATATGTTATATTTGTAAATGCTTTTTTCTCTTTTTTGCAACTTTGTCTAATCCGAATAGGTCCTCTATAAAGCGTAGCTTTTGCAAGGCATTGGGGTTTATTACATTGTATTTTTTGATAAAATCCAGTAATGCATCAGATGCAAACAATCATTCTGAAATGTACTGTTTTGCCAAGCTCATTATTTGCATATCTACACGGGTTTCTTAACTCTGGTCATCAAGCCCACTGTTCTACATGTGTTCAGTGTTTTCCTGCCTCCACAAACCTTACCTGAAAGAAAAAGGGATTGACAGTGTTTTGCAGCATTTGATGGCTGCCGAGGAGGTAATGCATCATTTGGTTCAGGTGTGCATGTGTACCAACCCAAGTTGAACCTCAGGTTCTCCTTTTGTTCTTATTTGTTAGCTGCATACTGAGCTAAAGTTCGGATCAGTCATTTTATTCTTATTTGGTTACGGTGTCTTGGTTCATGTGATGGTTCGGTTTGTTTTGTTGAGGCAGATAAGCTGGTATTCCTGCAGTGTGTTGCTCATGAAGCCTGCTAACTCAAAGGCAGTTTGAGTCCTCTTGAAAACAAGTCTGAGACTTTTGAATGTCAGTCATCTTTTTTTTTCCAGATCTACACTGAGTTGCATTAAAGTTGTCTTGCTTTTTTGCTTAATCTCGTTTGAGCCCTTAAACACATGATATTGAGGCAGAATTTAGTCAATCATGAACCTTTTTACTGCTTTATATCTTCACATACAGTTATGGAAAGTCAACTATTAAAAAATTCAGTCAGCTATTTTTTATTTAGCATTCCGAATGTGGTTGAAGGTGTATCTTTGATCTACTTTGCTGTGTTGATAGACTTTGAGGAAATATTCTGTGTATACGATCCAAATGGTTTCCTGGTCTCCACCAGGAACAGTACTTGGGTCATAAAACGTCACTGCTCATCTCCAGACCACGTCTGTCATCCCTTTATCTGACTCTCTGACTCATCTTTTTTATACAAATTATAATAAAAATGTAATTTATTATTGCAGAGAAGGATAATATATAATGATGTTTCCTAATAAAATTGACAGTTAAACGTAAAAACAAATATATTCATTTAGTGAAAAAATAAGTTTGGGTAACAGCTGACTGATTGCGCAAGACTCCTACCTCAACGTAAACTGTTTTCATACCTGAAAAAAGACTAGAAATAGAAGAAAAATGGTGAATGCAAATTTTTATCCTATATCACTCATACTAACGCTTTAAGAACAAATTAGTTTGTACAAACACTTTTTGCATGAGGCTCATAGTTTCCGGACCATGTGACCAAGTGATCCATCAGCTCCCTGTACTCCTTGTCCACCACTAATGAATCCCATAACTGCAAAGTCATTGAACTATTTCTGCAAATGAAAAGAGTCTGTCTGAAAGAGGAAATCTTAGGTGGTGCTTCTTTGCTGCGGACTGCTTGATTAGACAGCTGACCCCTCAGTCTCACAAACTGTGGTCTGTTTGTCAGGTATCCTTTGATCCAGGCCATTGTTGATGTCTCCACTAGAGTCTTCTGGAGTTTCTCACCAAGCAAATTAGGGTGAATCATGATAAATGCTTTGCAGAAATCA